GTGATGCCGATACTAGTCAAGTTAGTCAGATTGCAAGGTTTCTGGAATGTTGCGAGGTGACCTTGGGCATTAAAGTTAATTTCAACAAATCTTCAATTATTGGAACTAATTGTATAACTTTAGAGGTTGTAAATTTGGCAAATTCGATTGGATTTAAGGTGAGAAGCTTTCATGTTATCTACTTGGGGATTCCGATCTCATATTCGAGACCCTCTATCTCGGTTTGGGATAGGATTATAGAGCAGGTTCAGGTAAAGCTTGCTTTATGGAAGCCCAAATATCTCTCATTGGGGGGTAGAGTAACCTTGCTTCGTACTTGCCTAGCCAATCTGCATGTTTACCAAATGTCTTTGAATTTTATCCCAGGATTGATTGCAAAAAAACTGAAAAAAATGATGAGAGACTTTCTATAGGGGCTTCTTTGAAGGCAATAGAAAGTATCACCTTTTGAGGCGGGATAGAGTATGCACTCCGAAGAAGGAAGGTAGTTTGGGGATTCGCAAAATAAAAACGTTTAACCTTGCGTTACAATGTAAGTGGTGGTGGCGCAGCCTTCCTTTGAAGGACCATCTTTAGTGTAAAGTTTTACTTGCTAAATATGGTATGGATAGATCACAATTGTGGTTGGGTAGTAATAGAAAACAAAATTCGTCACTATTGTGGAGATCTCTATTGAGTCGTAGACCTATGATTTCAAGCTATTTTCGCTGGGCTGTTGGAAGGGGTGAGAAGGATTCATTTTGGCATCACAAGTGGCTAGGGGATTACCCTTTGAAGTCGACTTTCCCGGATCTATACAACATTGTAACGAGCCCCAATTTAAAAGTCAGTGAGGCGATAGATAGAAGAGGGAAAAATGTTTCTTGGGACATACAACTTGCATATGGACGTTTATGCAATGAGCTTCTCGGCCAATGGTGTCAACTTATGGAGTCACTTGATGAAGTCTATGTTTCTATCAACGGTGAAGATGAACTGATCTGGGAAATTGAAAGTAATGGCCTATTCTCAGTGAAATCTTGCTATAACTTATTTTTCTATGATCAATGGAGATGGTCGAATAGTAACATTGCACAGATGTGGAAATGGCCAATTCCCCATAAGGTACAGATTTTTATTTGGTTGGCAGCACAGGATAAAATTCTAACTGTGGACAATTTGATTAAGAGAGGAAAAATTCTACCTAATGTGTGTCTCTTATGTAAAAAAGATGTTAAAAATGGAGCACACATTTTAATTCATTGCCCTTTTACTACGAGGTTGTGGTATTGGTTGCTAGGGATGGTGGGTGTTTTAATTTACCACAATCAGTAAGGGGTTATTGTATCCTCTTTGAAAGTCACGTCTTTACCAAAAACAGGGCAACAAATTTGGAAAATCTATGTTGGTACAATCCTTTAGGAAGTGTGGAGGGAGAGGAATCAAAGGACCTTTGAGGGAGTTGTTTGCTCCTTTGATCGTTTGCTCCACGTTTGTAAGACTACGATTTGGGCGTGGTTGTCGGTTCAAAAGGAAGGATGGGATATTAGTAAGGCGGATGTTATGGTCAATTTGCATAATCTATTCTCTCTGGGACGCATTACTACTCATCTTAGAAGTATCTGGATTGCTCCATGCCCTGGTAGTTTTAAGCTAAACTTCAATGGAAGTTCTATTGGCAACCTAGGGCCGACTGAAATTGGTGGTGTTTTGAGGGATTGCTATGGAAGTGTTGTTTTCTCCTTTGCTGGGCCCATAGTCGTCAAAACTGTTAATTTTGCTAAACTAAGCGCTTTATTGTGTGGCTTGAAGATTTTTTTGGAGAAGAATCTACACTCAAGCTGCGTCCTTGAAGGTGATTATCCAAATGTGATTAAGTGGTGTAGATTGGAACAAAAAGTTCCTTGGGAAATTCGGTCTCTTTGGTTGCATGTCATGGATTTAGCAACAAGTTTAGTAGAATCCTTCTTGCATGTTTATAGGGAGGTTAATTTTGTGGCTAACCTTCTTGCCAAAGCGGGTACTTCTTTATCCTCTCTAGTTGTTTCTGATGATGTTATTTCCTTTGATTAAAGTCTAATAAAATTTTTGATCTCGCTAAAAAAAACTATCTTCAAATTGATCATCTTGACATCAAGATGCAAAGACATGAGAAAAAAATGGATTTCAAGTTTTGTAAATAGCATATTTTGTAACCCATTTCTGGACCGTCAATTTTCAAAATTTTCAAGTTTTCATAGATAATCTACACTATTTTAAAAGCTTAAAATTTTATAAATAAAAATGAAAATATATTTTAAGGCTATCACGAAGATATTTGATATTAAAACTACATTTTTCGACACTATTCGAAGATAGCTCTAATTTGATAGGCTCTATACAAACCTCACCCACCTTAAAAAGTACATATAGGATACATTTTGTAAGAACGGAAAACTCCTTCCTTTAATAATCTTCAAGTAGTTTATATTTTTAGTTATTAATTTTTATGCAATAAATGTTTTATATCTATCAATTTAGTTCTTTATTGTAAATTTTTTAGAAATTTATAAAAGTATGTTCTATTTACCACAAAATTAAGAAAACCGTCCTTTTATCTTTATTTTTATGAAATTAAAAATTTTAACTATGAATTTTCATGATTCAAAACTATTAAGATAATTTCTTCAATTTCTATTATAAATTTAATAAACAATTTTAAAATTATGTGTCTTCTCAAAAAACAAAAAAGGAAATAAACTACCATTTTTATTTCCTTCTAAATTTGTTAAAATCTTTTGTAATCTCAGTTTACTCTTCCTTGTCTAAATAGGGCAATTTTGATCTAGATACCAAATTCTAAAAGCCCTGAATTATTCTATTTGAATTTCATGAGCACGTGTTTTACGTCAATCTCATTCACATTCTTAATTCATTTTTTTATATTTTATTGATTCTAAAACGCATTTTGAGATATTTTTCATTAAAATATTTGATTTTGAAATTTTGAGAGCTCATTAAAAAATGAAACATGTGGAACCAGACAGGTTCCATGGAATCTAGACTCATTCCTGGAATTTTGGTCACCATCAGTTTCTAGTTCAACTTAGACAATTATACTTCAAATTACTAATTTTTAAAACTCTGAATTATTCTATTTGAATTTTAAATTTCAGGAGCATATGTTTGATGGCAACTTTGTTCATGCTCTTATTTGATTTTTTATTATATTTTATTCATTCAGAACCGTATTTAGGGATATTTCCTATTGAAGTATTTGACATGAAATCTTTTAATTTCCAATAACCTTTATGTACCACCCACATTTATTGGTTAAATTTTGTGCGTTTCATAAATAAAGACCTAGTATTTTTCCAAAGATAATAAAAACAAACATGCAACGCACGAGCATTCCACAAGGGAATTGTTAGCCCAAATACAAAAGTTTGAAGGATAATTAAAGGTAAAACTAATAAGTGGAATTTGTAAGAACAATATTTATTCTAAATGTTACAACCAGAGGAATATATCTTTCAGGTTGCACCAAGATGATATCTAAAGAACAAAAATCTATTTTAGATAAATACTTTACCAAGAAAAATATTTCACAAAAAATAATGTTTTCCGGACAACGTTTCTCCAGGGAATTCTAGCAACCCCTAATGGTCAAGTATAAAGGCGTGCCCCGTCATAAGATTGTAGTGTCCTGCCATCCATTTTCATTGGACAAAATAGATTAATCATCCTTAAAAAACCTACTTAACTCCATAGTTCTTACCTTACATATCATATTTCAGTTACCTCTTCTATATTCTCAGCATTTGACTACCTTCCCACTCCAAAAAGAGGAACATATCATATAGAACGAAACTTATTTAAAGATCGTATACTATGAGATGATTTATCTTTATTACAAGGTCACAATAATTTCTAAACGTTAGGTATCAAATTGGTGGCATGGGGTATGCCATGAAATTCCAAAAATTTCTTCCGGAGTCTGCCATGAAATTCCGAAAATTTCTTTTTGAACTTTAAACCAAGTCAATGACAGTCAAACTAAATTTCTGCATTAACTTTGAGTTTAGTAAATGCCACACTCGCAACCACCCAATTTGACATACGAAGGACATCATGATTCTAAAAATAAAACCAATTTCCGAACATGTCATCATTCCAACATGTTTCTCCAAAGCTCTACAATTTAACTAACAATTGTGAGAAAAAGAACTACAAGTTAATTAATCTTTGTAAGAAGAATGGAGGGCACCCCAACCCAATAAAAAACAAAATGGGGCAAACGAGCCACCATGGCTCACATCAAACAAGAAAAAATCACAGATATGATACATCAGTTTTTTTTTAGTACTGAGAACTCCCATCACCGAACCCACATTTCCACAAAGCCCATTTTAATAATAAGAGAGTCTGTATGAGATAAGGATCACGATAAGGCTGAGAGAGATAGAGGAATAGGCTTCATCAGTTCAACTATTGGCAGTAGAAAGATTGCATGGATGCTGCCAATAGTATTCTTTGTGGGAGAACTACAAACTGCTCAAACATACATTCAATATCTGAATGAATGAAGATATACAGAAGGGCTCAATATGGGCCTATAGCAGAATACAAGAATGGATACAATAGATTGAGCTGCAAAGATGATGTACAGAGAGAAATGAAGGAAGCATAGAGAATGCCAAGGCCCATTTCACATAGCAGAGAAGGAAAGAACAGATACAAAAGGCTGAGATAAAAAATATGGTATATAGAAACAAACTGAAGTGGGCCCTTGTGAAAAGCAGATTGAATAAATGAATATAACAGGGTTTACTATATTTACAAGGATTCCGCTGTCTCAAGAATTTAGACTGTTTAGTGTGTGAAAAATTAGTAACATGGCGGAAGGACGAATTTAACACCTGCTAGCTGGATTGTAAGATAAAGGATCATGCAACTAAGAGGTCAATGATCACTTGGCAGAGTGATTAAAAAAGAGAAGTTTTTAAAAAGAACTTTTCTTGACAACATATAAGATCCATGAGAGAAGAATAGCACAGCGACCAAGCAAATAATAGTAAGGATCTGTAAAATACACCAGATAAGTATGTAATGAGTCAAATTTTAATTCAGATAAGGGTTGAAGAAAAGAAGCACAGAACAAGCAACGAGAATGATCCTAAAAGATAAAGAGTTCTAAGGAGGTGGAAGAACAAAGTTTTCCACATAGAGAGAATTGAGAGAGAGAGAGAGAGAGAGAGAAAGAGAGAGAGAGAGAGAAAGAACCTCTAAAAGTATCAGCTGAGAGTCCCCTAGCATCTGATGGGAACTGGAAGACAAGAGGTGAAAACCCCCTGTTAAGTTAGAGGATCCTAAAATTATATGTATATATTCATAGGGCCTCCCCAGAACCAAAGCAAAGATAAGCTCAAACAGGCCAACATTCAAAGACAACGAGCACCTTTCGATGAGGATGAGAAAGCTTCTCTCTAAAAGGGGGAGTTTTCTCTAGAAGGGGATTTTTAAGTAGACATTATAAACGCTTGGATTAAATTCTCAGCTAAACTCTTCTGTTCTGTAGTGCCAGATATATGTGCCAAGCGATCACCATTGCGGGTTTTTCCATCAAGCACCTCTATGGTTGCTCCAGATATCTGCAGAAATATTTAAAAAGAAAAGTATATAACAGAAAGCTTTATATCCAGCATTAAATATAAGAAAATTAAGACTAGTTATAGCTATCAAAAAAAAAAAGGTTAAATAAAACTTGGTTCATGCAAGAATTCCCCTAAACACAGGCATCCAATCGAGGAAGGCCATGAAGGAAAAGTAGACTAGAGAAATCACACTGCATAGGGGACTACACAATCCAATTAAGTGATCAATAGGTCATTGGACAGAGATGCCCAATGTCTGTGATTCCAAAGGTCCAAGGCACTAAAGTACACTTGCCTACCCAAGGACCATGCTTTCATGGCCCATTAAGCTATAGTAAACTTCCTCTAGCCTAAGAGCATCAGTATAGATTAAGGAAATTTGAATTTCCAAGCAATACTGCCAATACAGAAACACTAAATACACAAACACCAAAAATTGACAAAAAGGAAAAAAAGAAGTGTAAAGATGAACAAAGAAAAATTGAATTCTGAAAGCAAGTAGGTAAACACCCGAGTTGCTACATTCACGAGAAAAGGCTCATGAAGACAGAAATCTCGTGAGTGTCATTTAACTAGAACAGACACCCGATCTAAAGGCTAACCACATGCAAAGAATACAGATAAAGCAATATCCAACCTTGCGAATGTTTGTTATGTTAGCACCGCCTTTCCCCATCACTTTTCCAACAGCATGTGCAGGAATCACCAACTCCAAGGAAGTTGAAGACAATCTGAAAGTTCATAACAGCAAAGAACCAAATATTCTTCTCAGGAACTGAGGCATCACGACAGCATAGGAATAAATAACAGTGCCAAATACATGCTAGTTTTCTGCACAAATATTACTTCCTACAAACTTCTGTACCTTTTAAGCTTAAAACAAAGCTCAGTGTTTTTGCTTCAACCCAAAAACAGTTGCTTTTTATATTAAAGAAAAGATAACAAAAATTTGTAGATACTATTCATGCAGAAAATACATTGGTAGGAAAGAAACTCAGATTCAAAATACCAACCCTCCATATGGCTTTGACGAGTATGAAGAAAGAGCGGAACCATATCCATTCTCCCCAACCTTCAAAGGAATTGACAAAAAAGAACAGAAAGCAATAAAAAACAAACACTAAGGTAAAAACTGGTAATAAACAACAAAATCATTTGTGTTGCAATCTCAAAAAATTCTAGTGGTATAAAATCAAATGATTCCAAACATTCTAATTCAAAAGAAAAAAAGGAAAAGCAAATATACCGTCAAAGATCCATATCCACGGAGGCCACCAGTATGAAGCATGCCCAATCCAGACCCCGTATCATGCCTCTGATCATAACTAAAGGGAGCAGCAGAGGGACCACCAGGCAGGCTTGAGTATGTTGAAAGACTACCCGAGTAAAGAGGTTCAGAAGGAGCCTGATCCCCTTCCTTGTCCCTCAAAACATCTTCTCTGAGCCTCAAAATAATTTGAACAAGCGCATCTCTCACACAACTAACTTCTCCAGAGGTCTGCAAAAGCCACAGCCAAACAGCTAACATAAAAATTCAAAAAGAAAATAAAAATTCCGAGGAAACCATAATTACCAAAAAAATATCACCAAAAAAAAAACAACTACACCATAATCCAGTCAACTAGTTAAGACAACTCAGATTACATCCACTGTACATTCAGTGAGAGAGATGCTTGAAGATTAAATATGGTGGGGCCCAAAGGGACATTCACCCTCTCAACGTTTAATGTCCAACCACATGTAACAGGGAACTGACAGTGGATAAACCCAGAGCCATGATCATTGTCCGTTAGATTATGGTGCCCAAAAATCAATAAGCAACAAATATATGTCAAAGAAGTAACAGGCCAGAACCTCAACAAGTTCTTCATTACTAGCGCAACACTTTGGTTTGTCACCCTTTGAGATGCGAATATCAGCCTTTGTTTTCTTGCGCATCTCAGTTATGATGGCACCACCTCTGCCAATGAGGCAACCTACAACCTTAGAAGGAACAAGTAGACGCATTGTAACAGATTCATCTTCATCTGAGTTGTCATTTATCTTCCCTTGAAGGAGTAAAACTGCTTCAACTGCCGGAGACCTTGAATCACCATTAGACTGCAAAGAGAAGTTTCCCGTGACAAAAACTGAAGGCATTTAGAATGAATGAATGAAATGTTCGTAAATACATACATATGTTGGATACAACATAGTTTGTTGATGAAATGAAATGTTCATACATAAATATGTGTAGTTCATACATAAATATAAATATACATATATTGGATACAACATAGATCGTTGAATACTGTTGGTTTAACAACAATCAGGCAAGAAACAGGGGCAGAGAAAAATCATCATCATCATCATCAAGCCTTTTGCCAACTAATTGGGTTCAGCAACACGAATCCGAGCAGAGAAAAATGTGGATGGTTTAAAGAAACATTCCCCACAATACAGGCAGCAAAATAGACAGAGCACTTTCACAATCATTAATCCCTCACAATGATATCATACAACAAGAAGAAGGACAGGATGAGGTGATTCACCCTTTTAAGAAACTGAAGCTCAGTAGTAAGAAATAATACGATAACAAACAGAATTGGCAAACAATCCATTTAAGGAATAGGAAAGGAATCCAAAAAATATTCATAAATTTCCAAAAAGTCATCAACCATTTCTCCAACAGCGTTTAAAAAAAAAAAAGAAAAGTAATTGATTAGTGTGGTCCTTCAAATATTTCATCACTACACTGCAGTTAGGCTTAAAGGTATTTCATCACTACACTGCAGTTAGGCTTGAAGGAAGTGACAAGGAATTAAAAATAAGGCAACAGCCAAACTCACGAACTCCAACTAATCCACGAGACTTAAAAAAAAAATAGAGCATCCCAGAAAAGCCCTCAAACATATTCCCATTCTTGCTCAGCAAATAAGTGCTTTCAAAAAATTAAACAACAGACTAATGGTACTTCCAAATTTTTCATTACCATATAACAATTACCCTGAAGGAAAGAAATAAGAGAATGGCAAACCTCAGTAGAGGCAACGATAATCACGCATTCATCGCAATCATCCTTCGCATCTTCAACATCAACTCGTGCTCCAGTCGACTGCCTCACACTTTTGATGGAACCACCACCCTTGCCAATGACGCGCCCAATCTTATCAGTAGGGCATAACACTTTCACAGTCAATTCCTCCGTTCTAGAGGATACACCATATCCAGGAGCAACAGGCAGTGCAGAAGAATAAAGAGAATAAGCGCTTCCTAGATCACTGGAAAAGCCAGTAAGGCCTTCCATGTGGTGTGTGGCACCAATAACAGGAGCAGCAGACCGAGGTGGTACAATAGAATCTACACTTGGATAATAGCCTCCGCTTGGATAGATAGGCATATCTGAAGGAATAATAACGGTAGGAGCAACATCATGAACCTCTGAGCCCAAAGGAATCTCTTCTTTTGGAGAGAATCTATACATAATGGATGATATTGCATGTACTGCTCTTTTCACCGCATCAGCATCTCCGGAAATCTAATGTCCAAACAGGAAGTTCACATCAAAAATGATTCTTTTGACAAGTCCATCAAAAACAACTTTTTCACAAGGCCATTAAAAACAAAAATAGAAAGATAAACATTGTAGGAAATTGGAAACTACATACATACCACAAAAATATGAAAACAATACAATCAAAGGATTCATACGCTGATCTTTTTATCATTAGTGTTCTATTTTCTTCAATTTTCGTTCTATTTTCTTCAATTTTCTTTAAGTCATTATGCTCAGATTTCCACACCTTCAAAACTTCTATCATAAAGAGAACTTTGAAAAATGGTTTACAGCCCATCTTTCAGAAGAACATCATGTATACATTTACATTTATTTACAAGAAAATTCCAAGTGTTAATTGGGGCCTACCCAAGCCAGGCCAACAAAAAGACCTGATTTACCCGAGTCTGGGGAGTCAGGATCCCAACAAAAGGACTCCAGTGACTGGTTCGAGTCATTTACTAGTACCTGCCATAAAACTCTAAACCCATAATTGCCTACTTGACTCTTTTGTGATGGTGAATGTATTTTCAAGTACCAATAATTTACTGTAAGAATCCCATTCGCAAGAAAGGCCTAATTAGCAGAAGACCTATCTTCTACTTGATGCAGCAACATTCAAACTGAGGGCAAGCCATTGTCACCAAAGCCAGCGAGTCTCAAGCCACTTTGCCAATAGGAAAATGTCCAAGTTCAATGTAACATAATAAGGATTGAAACCAAACTGACCCCGTCAAACTCTCAACTACTCCCCAGAAACTAACATTTCCCTAAGGTTAACAGTAGCTTGTAGCTCCTATACCTAAATAAATGGCATGAAGATGTGATCCACAGTATAAAAGTTCACATTTGGTACTAGCATATGCACACAAGATTTATGCTGTATTTAGTATGCCACAATATTACTCTAGAAAATTCAATTAAAACAACTTTATGGAGGTGTGCTTTACTCAGAAGTAAATCCAAGCACTCTGGATGAGCAGCAAACCTATAAAATCATAACTCATCTATTTCCTTTATAAAGAAGTCCACCCATCGACATATTAACCTTGAGACTTTGGTACAGAACAGCACTTCAAATGGTGAGCATTAAATAATAACAATTTGCAACAAACAAGCAACAGCCACATTCAAATTTTTTGATTCATATGCCATAGAAACATTACTTTAGAGGAAAAAGTAAACATTAACCAATAGTTGCAATGCAGGTACACCCTTCCATGAACTCCTGCACCACATTTCCCAGTCACACCATTTTTCTGATCTCTTTCTAACCATTCATATGTCTACATTGTGCCTTTCAAAACTTCAAACGGATAATGATATGGGCATATCTTTTCAATGTCAGCATGTAATCCTGTGCCAATAGAAGTTCTTAAAAATTTAGATGATCGCCGCGATTCAGAGAATATTACAACACAGGACCAAATCCAATAAGGTAGTTCACAAAAAAATTAATAATGGTATGCTAGGACTTCCCTTCATATGAAAAAATCTTCTCAAAGTAACACCATAAAAAACTCAGACCTCGTGGACCAAAGTTTCCTATCTATAGAGTAAAAGGTGAGGATATATTTGTATCTATCAGGGGAAGAGAGAGAGAGAGAGAGAGAGAGACTAAGGCACAAAACCTATAAGGAAGGTCAGAAAGGTTATGGAAGCCTAGAGCATTTTAAACCCAAAATAGCTAATCACACTGATTTGCATAAAATTTCACACACAAATAACATTTTGCAAGAGGGGTCCAAATTTTACCTCAACAAAATTATCCCAACTCATCCCACACGAATGATTCGGCTCACTAGGGTCCTTTGGAGTAATCTTGATTCGAGCCTTGGTCTTGCTTCTCAATGTTTTGACTAGGCTTCCATTTTTGCCAATGACATTTGCCACTTGGCTGCCAGGGATAAGCAAATTCGCAGTCACTTTATCATTCTCTCTCGAATCACCAGCATTAGCAATCACTGAATGGACCTTTAGTAAAGCATCTTGAGCAGAACAAAATATATCCGTATCATTCTCATTGAACTCAAAACTAATGTTCTCCTTTGTATTCACATAGCAATAAATAGTAATAACCCTCAAATTTGAACCAGGAAATGGATCAACAACCCTAATCTTTGCGTTTGTTTCATTCCTGATTGAGTTTATCACCTTTCCAGCTTTACCAATTACACTTCCAATAATAGTGTCCGGGCAAAGTATACGGTAGACAACTAACTCCCCACTCCGATTCTTATCCGCAGTATCAGACTTCCGCCTTTGTGATTTCCCATCATCAGAGAAGCCAAAATCTCTCTGTGGACGGGATCGCTTCCCAGTCTCTACCATGCTGATATCGGGTAGTTAAAGAGAGAATGAAAGCCCCTTCCTGTACATGAAATGCAAACAAGTATAACTAATATCATAATCTTAAGCCACATTAGATAACAAATGCTTCTATAGTAACCCATGTCCATAAAAAAAATCTTAAAGGAAAAATATAGAGACGTGGCACCATAAGCATGAAAGGAACAAGCACTAAACAACACCCAATGGAGGGAAGGAACCCAATAAACACAGAACAGAAATTTGATTCATGTTAAAACAAGGATGGATAAACTCTACCTAATTCAATAGCCCCGTATAATCAAATGGATGTGACATAATATTTTCATAGTAAAATAAGATCAAAAGGAGAAAAGAAAAGTATACAAAGAGACCATTTACTTTTTAGTACAAGAAGGTCACAATCATTTTTGTCCGTCAGATTTTAAATCGGGTGGTCGTACGCATGTCATTGACTAGAATCAAAGTTCAAAAAAAAAATTTCAAACTTCGTGATACTCCCCAAGCTATCTAGTTTGACATCTAGTGGCTAGTAGTGATTGTGACCTCTTTGAAACAATGGTAACTAGCCATATTATATACAAGCCCTAGGAGAAAAATACTAAAGAACTTCAATTTTCCCATATACAAATGACCAAATCAAGGACACTGCACAACACATCTGGCAATTAACCCAAATAAAGAAGTATTAAATTTCAACATCAAGAAAAAGCATGAATAACTATGAACAATGTTATATGAAATCTCCAATAGCATGTAATTTTTTTGGGTTTAGTCTCACAGAAAAACAATATAAAAAATATTTTGATATGAGATATGAAACCAAAACAGACATAAAGTGGAGAAATAATAACAAAATAAAATGCAGACCTTTGTGAAACATACTATATTTGTATGTGGAAGTAATATGTGCATCAAGATTAAAGAAACACCAGAAAACCTAGTGAGGAAACCCGGGACAGTAAAGAGGCAAGACAAGAAGCCTAGACAAGAATGAGCAATACGGAGAAAACTAATGAATCGGAGTCCAGGGAACCGTACCAAGAGAACAGAAATATAGAGAAGAAGACTAATTTGTGATATGAGGGAAATAAATGGGCAAGAAACCCATAAAAACAACTAAAGGTGGTATCTTTCCGAAAGATAGGGTCTCCCTCTCTCTGCCCTGGTTTGGAGGACAAAATTATGAAAAGTAACTGGAAATGAATCCTATCAAAACGATATGAAGAGGAACTAAACCTCATAATAAACCTGTAAAAGGATGAGCAACAGAGAAATATGGTGAAGAAATCCTAGTGCTAAAATGAAAGAGAAATCAACCCGAGAAAGTGAAAACGGAGACAGATGGCACAGCATAGACAGAACCCTTGCAAATAAAGAGTGGGTAGATATCCTGCTGGTAAATAAAACGAAATCAGGCCAATAAAGTAAAAACGGAGATTCATGGCATAGAGATAGAACCCCGGATAACTAAATGGAGAAAGAACAATGTACTACAAGAACGAGAGAGAGAAAACCCAAGCCCTAAAATCTTCGGTGACAGCTATGCATTGAAGGAAAATTACCTAGACAGGGGTAGAGGTCTCACTGTGCATAGACAAAACTACAGTCCTGAACTCTTCTGCTGCGTCCAGGAAATAAAGAGAAAGAAACCCAAGAAAACAGAGGAATCCAGGTCCTACAAAGAAAATAAGAACTCAAGCCCTAATTCCTTCTGCAACTTCCCAACGTTTGTACAGACAGAAACCCTAAAACACCCAATGGCGATGAATCGAGTTCCTACCATATAAAAAAAGATAAAAGCCTAAATTCTTAATTATTTGCACACACAGGAAGAGAAAGAAACCCTAGAAAGTGGAGAGGGCGCGATGTCTTACCAGGACCGAGAGAGAGGAGCTCGAGTCTCCAACTTTAGAGAGAAAGAAAGAGAGAGAGAGAGAAAGCGTCGCGGGCGTTTTAGGGGTTTAAGGCTTTGAGCAAAATCTAGGGCATGGAACCTGCGAGTACGGTTTTATAACCGGAGATACCCGGTTTCTCTTTTCATTGGCGGACACGAAACGAGAAGGGTGCATGCCAAGATATTAGAACCGGGTCAGACCCGAAATAGCTGACACGGTTCAACTTATGGTCTAACAGGTCGAGCGACCGGGCCGGATCACAGCCACAAAGTAGGAAATAAAATAATGGGACTAAGTTTCTATGCGGCCAAGCCTGCATATATAGAAATACAGGCCTCTTGATAAATTTATTTTTTAGATGGATTTTAAGACTTAATTTTTAAAAGCATGTACTCTCTAACTGAGATAATGCATGTGAAAAAATAAATAAATTTAAAAAACTAGAAATAATAACTCTAGCAATAAAACATTCGGGCCGTTAGTTTCCATTGTTTTTAAATGGAACACCTATTTGCCTCCATCTTTAAGTTGGATGCTGTACACTTTTCTAGACTGCATATGTAGAAATACGGTCCAGCCCGCATGAAACAATTTTTCAAACTAATATGAGATTCACATTTTATATTGTAGAATTAAGATGCATCTCAAACATCCATATGAAAAGGTTCTTTTGATTTGGAAGACCATCTAATTGATTATCTAAACATTTAGATATATGGATTGAAAAAAAGATTATAAATCCTAAAAATAATATATCTTACAATACATTAACGGGACTATCTATTTTTTAAGACTTTCATGCATTTAGCGATATGCTTGATTTGAAATTCTTTTGGAGTATAAAATATCATAATTAGATATAAAAATAGATTCTCGAGGCATCATAAGAATTTTCGACATCAAAACTACATCTTATTGACAAAGTTTGAAGATGTGCCTTATTTTGATTGTTTGGGGTTACACCCTTAGACAAATCACACCCCATGGAAAGTGCTTTGTGTGTCAGGGATGCAATTCCTCACATATCCTACCTATGGATGTATTTGTAGAAGTGTTAGTCGTTATGAAATTAAAATAAATGACCTAGATTTATTCTTAAAAAATTGTCATTATAAATTTTAAAGTTTATTTTGATTTACATACTAATGATCCACATGTTAAAAAATACATATTCCTGAAGAACTAAGTTCAGAATATTATAGAGCGATGGCGCATATCTACATATGAATCAACGGATTCCTAAAAACCGTGTCCAAAGTACATTTATAAAAAGAAATTTGCACACGTCCCCTTAAAATAGTAGAAAGTTCATCTCAAATTTTCAAACTTACAATCATATCCCTTTTATTTTCTTATTTTTATACCAAAAAAGCCCTTATCTCGGATTTTCAAGATTCAAAATTCTTATAATATATTGAATTCTCAATAGGACCAGTTTCTATGAAGCCAACCCCACATATGTAAAAATACGGGCCCCTTAATAAATCTATTTTTGAGATAGATTTTAAGACTTGGTTTTTAAAGACATGTAACCTCTAACATGGAGATATGGAATATGAAAAATAAATAATTTTTAAAAACTTAAAATTATAATTTTAGTAAGAAAACATCTAAAATGTTAGTTTCTATTGTTTTTAGATGGAACAACTACTCGCGTCCATCTTTAAGATGGCAGCCCACATGAAACAATTTTCCTTCTCAATATCCAAAAGTTATTCGAGCTTCCCAGGCATCACAAACCCAATGCTAGTGCACCGTGGGAACAAAAGGGTTTTTAGATTTTCAAAATTCGAAGTTATGGAAATTTCAGATTTCAAAAATTCAAATGCAATAAATTCAGATTTTAAAAAATCCAAAACTTCCAATTTTAGATATTTAAAATATGGATATATGGCAAATTTGAACTTTCAAAATCCAAAACTTCAAATTTTGGGTCCAAATTCTGAATTTCTGAAAGTTTTAGATTTTTTAAATTTTGATTATTCAAGATCCGAAAATTTACAGACTTCAACCTATGAATTTATGATATTGAAAATCCAACATATAGGTAATTTGGTCATTTTAAAAAAGAATGCAAAGAAAAAATTGCTTATTAACATTATATCACTTTAAGTTTTATTTTGTTAGTAAGGTTGTCGCTCACTATAAACTTTTTCCTATTAAAATAGTTTGTATACGTTAATGCTATTTATCTTTTGCATAATTTTACAATCACGTGTAATGTGAAAATCTGATGGCATGAGATGCTTCACAAAGTTTGAAAGTTCCTTATACCAATGATAATGAGATGATTTGTTTTTTTTATGGAAAAGTTTATAGGGAGGTCATTTACTTTTGATGCAAGTGGCCACAATTAATCTTGACCATCAAATGTGAAATTGGGTGACGGCATTTATTTTATTGACCAAGCTCAAAGTTCAAACGATTTTTTTTTCTAACTTTGTCACACACCCATGCAATCAAATTTCACATCGGATGGTTGTAAGTAATGGAAGGAAAATGGTCTCATTATATACAATCTTTTTTTTTATTCTCACTTTACCCAAGTAAGAAGTATAACCTTTAAATAGCCCAAATTACACACCCTAAAAAACACATGTTTTGGGCCGATTCATAAGTACAACTTCCCAACTGCCTGAAATATATATTTAAGTGGTTTGAAAGTCTAACTTTTCAAATTTATATTTATTTTATTTTAAATTTGCATCAAGTACCCTAGGTAAAAAAGAATAAACTCGAGTCAGATCTTCAAGTTTAGGCTGGAGGGCATCTTGAGAAAAAACAAAAACTCGATACAATCCTGAAAATTTAAATACAAGGGTCATTTTTCAAAGGAACAATTATCAAAATAAATGTAAAAGATAAACAATTTAATATTTTATTATATATTTTAATTTAATTTCAAAATATTATTATACATTGGCTGTGACTTAGAATAGTTGAAAAAGGCTAAACTTTAGTTTTAAAATTTTAAAATTGTTGAAAAGCAAGTATTTTAATCAAATATATTTTTTACATATCCAAAAAAGTGTTATTTACTAAGATCCCCCTTTTTGAAGTATTAGAATATTTGTAATTGGAAAATGGTTTCAACTGCAACTCTATCCAAAAATAAGTAAAGCTTATCTTCACAACTCATTAAAATTTGCAATTTAAGTGTTGAAAAACCTTTAAATCAATCATCTCAACCTGAATATTATATGGTTATGCAAAAAAAAAATAGAATTTTAAATTTTAAAATAATATATATTGCAACAAATCATCTAAACCATCCATTTCGTCTTAAAAGTATTTAGATCCACAAGATCTATACTAGTTTTTTAGTTTCAAATTTTATTGTCGGTGTCGGAATTAATTTTGGAGCCATCATGAAAATTTCTAATGCCGAAAGTGCTTTCTGGATAAGAATTTGAGGTGAGGCTTTATTTTGTTTTCGTAAAGCCTAAGCCCCATAGAAACTTCATCCTGACAATTTATTAGAAGCTGAGGATAATTTTGTCAAAGAAACAAAAAAAACAAAGGTTTTTACAGAATGGCCATTACCCTAGAAACTGGTATGCAAGGTCTTAAAGCTTGATTTCCTTGGCGGTTTGTTGCTTTTTGTCTTAATTTCATTTGATAACCAGAAACACAGTACTTGTATTGTAGACTGCTGAGTTCTATCACTTAGTAATTTTGAGGCAGCTGTGTATTGATTATATGTGCTATTATCTTATGCTCGATCTCTTTCTTAGTTGAGGTTAGGGTTTCTTTGCCCTTGAATGTATGGAATTGGATTTTTTTCTTCTATTGAATTAACAGTAGTTAGGGTTACTTTATTATTGCTAAATCTAAACTCTTTGATCTTTTTGGATTGAGGTTTCTTAATTTTATAGTTATTCGATATTAGATATATCTCATGTGTGACTGCACTACTTTTTTTGAGTGAAGCATTTCTCCCTAAAATTTGTGATTTCATTTTCATATGGATTTTAACTTCTCAATTTGGAATTTTGTATTACTTGTTAATCTCCAGCTGTGTACCATCTCTGAGTTCAATTCACTTCGTTGAATTTTACATCCTGTCCTTTTTGTGCAAGCAACTGAGGCCATAATATTAGATTTTAAGGTATCTCTGATACCAGTCCACTGCAGTTCTTGTTGCATCAAGTTCACTTGGTTCGGTCTCAGGACCCGAGCTGAGTGGCTCGGGCCAGTCTAATGGGACTCGCCTGAGTCCTGCATGAGCCAAAAAATCGTTAAATGTGCAAAATAACTACAAAAAAATGGCAAAAAGAAACACTTAAAAGCGCGAGAAGTTATAAAAGGCATTGAAAGTCAATAAACAGAAGGAAAAAAGTGAATAAAAGGTGGTTTTTGGAAAAATTTGATACATAGCTTGAAATGATTCAGAAAAATTTCAGAAAAAGGAAACATAGAAAATTAAAGAATGTATTAAGACAAATTCACATACCATCATAAAACACAGCTAATTGTATATGAATGTATTTATATGTCCTTTATTAACAACAGTTTATAGAAATATTATCAGAGTTTGCACACGAAACTCGCCTCAGCACCCTGCCGAGGTGGAGTCGACCCAGCACGCACTCGCCTGAGTATATGTTAAGAGCCAATATTTTTATACTGTGTTATTCTAGGACTTCTCTGTGTCTCTCATCATTGCAGAGGTTTATCAGTAATTTGTTGCAACTTTTTTATCCCCAATATTTTTTCATGTCTGAATCTGTGAAGATGACTGAATCATTGACTGTCACATAAACAACTGATTGCATTGAACATTTCTTATGGGTTGGTTATTAGGGTTTAGAGGCCCTAGCCTTTCATTAAATTGGAATGGAACATTTACCATAAAGATGCAAGAATTAAAAAGGTGCAAAGCCAATCTCCCTTACATGTAACCTTTTCCTCTTGCAAATGCATGATTAGCTAGAAATTGATATCTCAAAACCAGTGTCCTAAAACTCAAGCGAGTCCACTCAGACTCACCCTAGTGGATTAGGTCGGACTCGGAAGGATGCTGAGTCCGAGTAGGAACGGGCCAAACTTAGCCAGTTCCTATATCTTATCACACTATACCTAGCAAGTTGCATGCCCTAGATTTTGCCCAAGGCTTCCCTAAAATGCCTTCGACACCCTTATTTCTCTGTTCATCTGTCTAAAGTATCTCTCTCTAAAGTTGCAGTGCTCGAGCTATCTCTTTCTCTCTGTTGGGCCTGGTAAGACATCGATCCCTCTCCACTAATGCTTTATAGTGTTTATCTCTCCTTATATATACGTAAATAGTTTGTGAATTTAAGGCTTTTATCATTTTTGATATGGAAGGAATTCGATTCCTCGCAATTTTAGTCTTTTAGGGATTCTCTTTCTATAAATGTTGGGCTTAGAGTTTTTATTTTCTTCACAAGACCTCGATTCCTCTCCATTTTAGCTTTCTTGTGTCTCTTTATTTCCTGGATGCAGAAGTGTTTTGGACTTGAGTTTTGTATATGCACTGTGAGACCTCTAGCGCGGTCTTGTTGATTTTCTAGGGTTTGTCTCTCGCCTGTGCTCTCTTGCCTTCCTGGTGTTGCAGTCACCGAAGAATTTAGGGCTTGGTTTTATTCTCTGTACTTCTGGTAGGACATTGTTCTCCTCCATTTAGTTATCCGGGGTTCTTTCTCCATGCCATCAAGCTCCATTTTCACTTTTTTTTCCGTGCGTTCCTTTTATTTTACCAATCTTTATTTTTAGGGGTTCTCCCTATGTGATGCCATCGATCTCCATTTTCACTTTCTTGGGCTGATTCCCCTTTCATTTCACCACTAGGATTTCTTCCCCGTCTCTCTCTCTGGGCATGGCTTTCTCATCCTTCTACAGGTTTATTAAAAGGTTTGCTTCCTGTCTTACATCGTTTGATAGGATTCAATTCCAGTGTTTTTCTCGATTTTATCCTCAAAACCAGAGAACAGAGAGAGCCCTACGTATTAGAAACAAGGGTGTTAAAAGAAAAACCAGAGAACAGAGAGAGCCCTAGTCCGTAATGGATTTGGCCGGAATTTGCCAGGAATTTTTCATGAATTTTAAAATAATATATTTCCTGCATTTATAAAAGGCCCAAACTGGCCCCATTTTTCGGGTTTGGTACCAGTTTTCACTTTCTTGGGATAATTTCCGTTTCATTTTACCACTGGAATTTCTTCCCGTGTAGACTGTTGCGTGGCTTTCTATCATTCTAAAAGTTCATGGTTATTACGAAGCATTTCACATTCAATTCAAACCAGATCATAAAGTATCAATTGTATGTTTGTGTCTGTATATGTTAGTTACAAGATTCAATGAAATCAATAGCTAAATACTAGTTAAAAGAAAAATACATAATTACTATAACATACTAAAACTTTTCGACTTGTGGACCACATCTCGCTAAACATCAATGGAGAACAGGTTCATTTAGAAAATTTCAAAAAAAAAAAAAAAAAACATGAACCATCCCATGGAAAAGCTCTTAAAAACTTAAAACAATTCATGCAAACTTCAAATATGAAAATTAATAATAGAAAGGATCAGATGAGAGCTCAAATATCAACCCCAAGAAATTTAAGTACAACTAACATGCATCTCGAAAATTCAATAAACAAACATTGACACGTTTGACAGAAATTGTGCACTCTCTCTTGTCCAAATAAATTGCTTTTTTTCTCTCGTCCTAATCAAAATTCCCTCATTTTCTTACAGGGTATCGTGGCGATCAACTTTTTCTTACACTGGAGGTACACTTGAGAAGGATGCTTGAACATTCTTAGGTTCTTGATTAAGGTTGAGGGTTCCTCTTCTCATCACGAATTCAACCTTTAGAAACTCATAGACTCGATGGACCAAGTATTTGCATCATCAACAAGCAAGGGAGAATTTTAGGGTTTTGATACACCTCTTCAATTTAGGGATTCAGGGTTTGGGATTCCATAGCGCCCACAAAGAGGTATGTTCTGAGCATGTATTTTTCTCTAAAATACATCACTGCAAATGTTGTGGATCGAAACAATGGTCGAATTGTAGCTTTGCTTCTTCTGATTTGAAGAGTAATTTTGAGTGTGGTCGCTTTTGTAACTCAAAGGCACCCGCTGTTGTTGGTAAGATTTTGGCAATGAGAACAAAAGTGGATGAATCCCTGTAAGTTTACTCAACTTTTCAAAACGAGCTACTCAAATATTCAAAAAGTGGATGAATCCCTGTAAGTTTACGCGAATATTCAAAAAGAGCTCGATAAGGGTTTTAAGAACCATACAAAGATTTGGTCTCATATTAATGCTCTCAAGAATCATGGTGACTTATATAAACATAAGAACTTTTAGTGAAAATTATTGACTATTCCAAATTAGACGACAATCATTTTGATATCGGCGTGGTTTGTATGTGGTTGCATCCTTGAACCATCAAAGTAAGGCGCATCTCCGAATTTTATCATAAATGTAATTTTGGTCCAAAAAATTCTTAGGATGGGTCGTGAATCTATTTCCATTTCTAATTATAAAATTTTAAACTCAAAAAATGTTTTAAATCAAGTAAATATATAAACACATAATCATTTTGAAAATGGACGGTCCAAATAATGTGTTGTAAGATGCACTTTTTTCAGATTTAACAACGTTTTATCTTTTGATATTCATAATCTTGATGTCGAGATAATTAATTTGAGGTTTTTCGAACATCAAAACAACCTTTTATAATGGATTTTTGAGGTGCACTTTATTTCTCCATTTTAGGATTGCAACCTTATATAAACTTTGTCCTTATGTAATTTGCTAAAGCTTGCATTTTCCAACTTTCCATCGCTGAAAAAAAGGGCAGCATTTCTAGAGAATGTCCCTAATTTTCCAGACATCTTTCCCTCACTTCAAAACTCCAGGGATTCCCAGAAAATCCCAAGGAAGCTACACAAAATTTTAAATTGGGCTTTAAGCTATGTTTGATAACTGGGAAAGCTGGTACAAAATTCGATTTCCCTAATTAATGGAACCTCCCCCATTTGTTTGATCATTTATTCGATGAGAGGGAACTGTAATTTCCCTACCCAATCACCCTCTTATAAGATCCAATGTCCTCACTTAGCGGAATTCTGCATTAATTTGGCTTTAAGCCTTTTCAATGGCTTATTTGACAAACTAATGATATTAACTCTTAATATTGTAAACTCTTATCAAAATAGCTCTAAACCTCTTGAAAATTTCAGCAATTACCTAAAAAATATTGAAAATTAGCAATATGGAAAAGGAAAATACCTAGCATGTCCATAAAATTGTTTTGTCTTCTTTTGGGATGAATTGACTATTCTTCAACGCATGGATTTTTTTTTGTTAATTATTAGTAGTGTATGCCTTACCCACCACGGTAACATGCCAATTCCAACACAATTATATATGTTTCTGAATTCACGATCAGTCTTCTTTCTTCTTCTTTTTCTTCATTTTTAATGTTTACTTAAAAGCAAAAAAATTTATATAATATTACATCATTAAAATGTAGAATTACAGATGCACCTCAAAATCTATCAAAAAAAGTTGTTTTAAGGTTGAAAAAACTTCTAATTGGTAATCTCAACATCGCGATGTATGAACATAAAAAAAATAAAAAAATTGCGTTTCAAATATATTACATCTTACAATATATTATCTAAACCGTCCATTTTCAAGATTTTTATATTTTTATAAATCTACTTGATTTTAACCATTTTTCGAGTTTTAAATTTTATAATTAGATATAAAAATAGATTTTGAGATAATCCTAATAATGTTTTTCACCAAAATTGCATGATACAATTTGGAGCACCTTTATTGGATTGTTTAAGGTTGCAACCTTATAAAAACCACACCCATACTTGAAAGAAATGAAGTAACTTACTGGTGCTCTTCCAAATCGTCGATGATACATTGAGACCATTTATCATTCATATAAAGAAGTCACAATTACTCCAAACCATTAAATGTTAAATTAAATTGCTTAAGGTGTGCTGAAATGCTTTTTTGGAACTTTTAAGTCTATAGGCAGCTCGTAACTACTCAATTTGAAATCTAAAAGACAAGAATGTTTATGACCTCCTTGTAAAGTAAATTGTCTGTTTATATACTTTTCCATAAAAATAACGAATATGCATCCAACCCACAAATTATAGAGCACAGCCTTTACCACTTTAATTATGGAGAATTTTGAAGTGATTTAAGATGTAAACGGTAAAAGATTTATAATTTCGAAGAGCCAAAATTGCCACTAAAATTTCTTATGTATATAATTAAACCTGCAAATAAAAAGTGTCTGAAGAAAAAAAAGTAAAAAAAGGAAAATCAAGGCCTAATGAGGTTTACCTCATGATTATTGAGAATATAGATTAGAAATAAGATCTTTATACAGTTTTTGAAACCCTTATCAAACTCTCTAAGAAAATTCAAGTAAAATTCAGAAATTTCATTTCATTTTTGCTGTAGAAACCTCACTGACATTGGCGACCTGCTTGGAGTTGCAAAAGAGTACACATCAAATACTTCCTCAAAAGTCTTCTCCATAAGAGGAAGCAGAAGCCACACTTTGACATTGTTCGATCCAAAACACTTGTAAGATGCATTTTAGAGAAAACTATATTCTAATACCATGCCTCAGTGTGGGATATATGAAATTTGAAACCACAAATAGAAGAGATACTATTAAATCCTAATCCTATGCCCTAGAAATCCCGATTGCATTTTGCTGAAACAAATACCTTCTAGAAGTTTATAAGGAATGAATTAGTCATGAATGGGGGAACCCTCTGTCCAAATCATCATCATTATGGCAAATCCTGAGCTCAAATGAATTGTTCAAGCATCTTTCTCTAGTGCACTGCTAACGCAAGGATATGATCATCTTAAATGGAACATGAGGAACTTCGATTAACTGAGAGAGAGACGGTAGTTTTCTTAGATATTAGAGGCGTATTTTCTTTTCCTTTTCTACCATAGTTGGGAGGCGAATTGTCATTGTGTTCTTGCCTCTATAAGTGACTTTTAGCATGTTTTGTTTGTTGAACAAATGTTCATTTACACATTCTTACACCTTTTATTGTATTTCCATACAAATTTTATGAATCATTATGTTGTATTTCCATTATAAATTGTCGGGTTGGTCCATGCCATCCCCGACCTGATCCCAGCCATAGTTCCTGGTCAAGGTCAGCCTGACCTGACCCAAATCCACACTTTTACACCCTTAACCAAGGACCATATGGAAGAGATAGGATGATCAAAATTGCAACGTAAAATTTAATACCGAAAGAGAATGAAAAGGATTTCAATAATATCCACATTTTTTTTTTAACTTGGGAAATGATTTCCCTTTGGAGCTTGCTCAAGCAATTATAAAATCTTTTAGTAACTAATATCAAACCTGCTGAATTTTCAATAAAAACTCTCTTTCTCCCCCCCAACCCCTTGAACCAGATAGTTTACCATAGTATAATGCTGATTTGTTAGCCAACCTTTCTCTCTCTAGTCTCTATAGTATTCGCTACAAAATCAGATGGCCTTCAAAATGAGTTCGATCAAATCAAGAATAATTTTTTGGGAAAGAACATGTAAAATTTTATTGATATCATGCTTCCCCAGTGAATTACATAATGTGGACTATGAAACTAATTTATATCATTAGCAGCCGAGAAGAAAAAAAAAGATGTTATTTAATTACCTCAGTGTATTAGACCAATAATCAGTCACGAGTCCATGCGTCCTGTACCAGCAAATAAACCAGCAAGATTAGAAAAATTTTGGCAACGGTAAGCTCTCTCTCTCTAACAAATGCACACGAAAAATTGACTCGCTCTCTCTCTCACACACACATTTGATGACTCTTTCAAGACCAAATGCCAGACCAGTAAGATCAGAGAGAGTGGATACCTTTCCTCTACAAAAACCACGCATTTCATTGAGATTCATGTGCAAGGTATAAGAAAATAGACAGTGGAAATGTCACCCATAATGTAGCCAGTGCTGACATATAACCTTTTGAGGGATTTGTCTTGTGCAGGGCTTGGTCCCATAGTCATGCCTCTTTGCTCTCAATTTTTACGGAAAATATTACACCGATCCTCGATTTCTAAACTAATTTTATGGTAGGATGCCCCAACTTTTCTCTTTCAAGTAGGATTAAATTTTCCTAGAACTGTTAAGGTGCCCATTCATCCCCTCCATTCCCTCTTTTATCAATACTTTACACGAAATTTGACAACAACAATTTCTCTTATATCACACAAGGAAATCCTCCTTCCGTCCCTTTTTTACGTCACATGCAATTGTTGACCTAAAATTTAATGTTAAAAAAGTGAGAAACGAGGTGAGGGAGAGGACAAAGGCATGTGCTGATTGTCTCATGTGCCGATAGTCTTAGGAGAAATTTAATGCCACTTGAAAGAGAAGTAGGCAGAGGCTGCCGCATATAAGTTTGGTATTGGGGGCCCATACGACATTTTCCCTAATTTTTAGAATTGGGATTATATATAGCGAGACGTTTTCTACCTGAAGTAGTCAGATGGAAAATCGGGCCGGCTATGTTGTGCCTTTTTGTATGTAACTTGTCTCATGTACTTTCCCTTCAAAATTTCAGAATCCCACAAAAGTAAATCCATTTACTTGGCTGTAATGAATGTGTGCGTGTGCTTCGATGCATTGAACATGCATATATGCTTATATATATATACAAAAATACCAGTGCAAATAAATTCACATGCATACACATAATTTTGGATATACTCATTATCACTTATAATTCATTGTTTCAATGAAGTTAATTATGATATGAAGTATCTGTCTGTGGTTTGCCTACAAGTGTATCTTTTTTAAAAGCTTTTTTCACTTTATTCCAAATAACTTGCTGAAATAATATTAGCTACAAAATTGATGAAAATTCGCTGAAAATTGAGACAGTATAGGTAAATGCAATTCACCAATGTCTTCAAGCTTGCATAGGTTACATGTTCACCTATATTAAGACAGTTATTGAGAAACAAGTAAATATATTATATTAAGAAAAGTGTATTTAAAGGAAAGTGCATTTGAAAAGCATATAGATCTCACCTTCTAGTGCAGGGTCTTCTTCTAAAGGTGTTTCTGATGTTGGAGAGTAAAGAGAAGCACAAGAGGATTCTCTGGCATCAATCAGCATGGCCACTACCTCTCTCATGTTGGGCCTATCAAGGGCCGACATGCTGGTACAGAACAAGGCAATCTTGAGAACCAGAGCCATCTCCTCTTCTATCCTCTTCTTGCTGAAATCTATTCGAGAATCAAAAACCTTAGATCTCAACTCTGTGTTTGGAATTGACCTCCGGACCCAAGTAACCAGATCGCCTCCCTGATCAAGGGGCAGAACTGGGGATCGCCCGGTAACCAGCTCCAAAAGAACAACTCCAAAACTATATATGTCACACTTATCAGTGAACTTCATTGTGTACGCATATTCTGAAATAGGGTGGACAAATTGGTAGTAAGAATGTGTACCGAAACATAAGGTTTGAAATATTGAATATGCCCATGAAATGTCAGTCATGCTAAAATCTCAGTAGTAAGAATGTGTACCGATATTTCTTTTTTTTTTGGTAAATGAAGGGTTGCTATTACAAAGAAATAGATCATAGAATAAATTTGTATAGTTGAAGCAATCAAATTGTTTTAAAAGAATAATTTCTACTTTTTTATTTTATTTATAAATTGCAGAAATATAGATGTACTCATCAAACTAAAATATTATTTTCCCTATCTGAAATATCGGTCATGCTAAAATCTCAGTTGTTGAGTTTATATTTATCCCTCAATAATACGCTACTTTTTGGTTGTCCTACTTCTCAAATGCATATAGTGCAAGAATGAGAATCTGCAACTCGCTTTCTATGCATTTCAAATACGGACTCATATATGAATGAAAATGTTTACAATAATATTTTGATTTCATTTTTTACATGTTAGATTACACATAATTCTTCAAGAAATAGTTGTTGAGGATTCATCTCATGTTTTTGATGCTGTTAGCAATAAAACAGATATTGTAACTGTTATTCAGGAGGCTAATATAATGATTTGATATAAGCATGGTCGTGTTGCATGTTCCCTTTCCCTCCTTATAATTGTAGTTCAATTCAACACCCCCCCCCCCCTTATTTTTTTTCCTCTCTTTTTTTGGGGAATAATTTGCAGGTGGAAAGTTCCAACCAAACAAGTCTTTAATGGGGAAAAATAGTGATTAATAACTTATCTGGATAAAAAAATATCACTTGTGGGGAAAAATGGGCACACTTGTATAGATGATTAATTTGTTGTTGCTCCTCCAAATGATCCAAACCTAAGTACATACTTGGGAACCTTCAACATCAACTTCATACATCACCATACAGTTTCATCAGTCATAACTCTATCAATTTACAAAAACTACTCCTAAATACTTGCACTAGGGCGAGACCAAGACCTTTCACAGGATAAGTAGGTAAACGAATGAGAATGCAAACATTTGTCAATGAATTGTTATGTTCATGTTTTGAGAGATGGGAGCTCTAGGGAATGTTGGTCAACCTCTATAATTGTAGAAATTCCAAAGACGGATTTCATGTGATCATTGGTAGTTGGTTGATACCACAGTGATCGAAGGAGTAGAAACCAGTGTTTAGATCTAGTGAATAGTATAGTTTACAGTAACAATTTTTTTTTTTGGGTAAATACAGTTATCAATTTAACTGTAATAGGAATGTCTTGCTACCGGTTACTTTTGCATGGTATAGAAATTCACTCCCAGTGATCCTAGTAACATGACTATCAAAGAGCTATTGGACATAAACATACCTCATGACACCTGAAAATGAGACATTACAAACCTATTGGGATGTCATTGGTATTTGACGGCAAATGATTTCATACAGGAAATGACCAAAGAAACAAACAACTCATAGGTGACATGTGCTTCCAGACATGTTGCCTTTTCAGCTTGACAATGTGTCAATTGATGTCATTCTGTTAATATGCAGCTATGTACATAGTACAGCATATTCATGCAGAAAAACCAACCATTTGGAAGTCTATCTTATTAGTGGCACATTCTAAGGCAACTTTACTGGGTCAAGCATTCTGACTCTGAAATGAACCTCATAGATAATATCCTTCAGGTGAACAAGTTCCGCTAAGAACATTGATGATTAACAGAAACTCATGGGGGGGTCCTGATCAGTAACAAAGATATATCTAATTGTTGAAAAAAAAACGTTTCATTAGCTCATTTCCTTTCTTTGGAAGATAATGCATTTACTTTCACAACTAGGACAAAGGTAAATAGTAAATATTACGCCTTCGATATTACCTCTCTAAAAATGAAATGGAACTGACAAAACAACAGTTCAGATAAAAAGCATGTTTAAGAACACTACCTTGCCTAACAATTACATATGAAATTTGCACCAAGATTCCTGGTGCCAAGCTAGACATATTGCTACTTCAGGTCATGCTGGCAAAACATTCCAAACAAGGATTGCAGAAAAATGACAAAAAGCATACATGCAACAGCAAGTCACATAAAGCAACAAAAAGAAAAGATCACATGGTAAATTGTATATTCTGAAGTTCAGGATGCATGTGAAAAGAGAAAAAAGTAGATTGACTACTCAAGGTGATCCTAGCGACCAAAGAGAAACAAAGCCTCAGTCTGCAAGTTACTCCAAGCAAGAGATGTGGCATTCGTACCAGGTGCAATATAGCCATATGAACCTGCAACAGAAGACATGGTCTTCGAATGTGACAGGTCAATCAACTTGGCCAGGCCAAAATCTCCCACATGAGCTTCAAAAGTGCCATCCAATAAAATATTATTCGACTTTATATCACGATGAACAATTTGAGGTCTACAGTCATAGTGTAAATAGGACAAGCCTTGAGCTGCTCCAAGGGCTATCTTATAGCGAGCATCCCAGTCCAACAAACAAGGCTCACCACGAAGCACTTCACCTAAGCTCCCATTCTCCATGTATTCATACAAGAGAAGATTCGAATCCGTGTGATTGCAAAAACCATGGAGCTTAACGATGTTGCGGTGCCTAATTTTACCCAAGGTTGAAATCTCAGCACTAAAGCTAGTGTCGATATTCGATCCATCTCCATGAGAGGCCAGCTTCTTGACTGCAACAAAATCCCCATTGGCCATAAAAGCTTTGTACACGGTCCCACAAGCTCCTCTCCCTATCACTGCACTCTCTGAAAAATTTCCAGTGGCTTCTAGAAGGTCCTGATAGCTGAAACCACCTTTGGGGAAATAATAGGTATCAGTTTCGTCAAGTTTATGGTTTTCAAAAGGGACAAACATAGACCCTGGTCGCTTTATGAGCCAGCAAACGCTCACTGTGAGAATTAAAGACACCAACCCCACAAACACCGCACTTATGCTCACGATTTCCTCCTTAGCGTTTTGCTTCTCAAGCCAATGGGGGTGTAGAGAATTGGGCTGCGATGAAGGAGACAGGCAAGGATTCATCATGGACCCACAGAGGTCTTTGTTTCCCATAAAATTGCTCGCATCCATCCTCCGAAAAACTTGAGTGTTAGGTACCTCCCCCCCAAGACTATTATAAGAAAGATTGCACACTAGAAGGCTGGATAAGTCACCCAAAGCCACGGGAATTTCACCATCAAGTTGGTTATTGTTCAAGTAGAGAGCTTCAAGCATCTGCAAATTTCCCAGTTCCATTGGTATTTCTCCAGAAAGGAGATTGTTACTAAGGTTCAGAGCAATTTGCAAAGTAGTGAGACGACCCAATTCAGGAGGTATAGAGCCAGATAAATGATTTCCTCCCATTTGCAAGTCTGTAAGGTGAGACAAACTACCCAACCAACCAGGAATGGTTCCATTTAGTTGGTTATCAGACAACTTTAGAAGTTCTAGGTTTGTCAAATTGCCGAGTTCTTGGGAGACAAAACCGGTTAATATATTTCTGCTCAAATCAAGCCTTTGGAGATTTTTACAATTGGTTAAACTAGGGGGAATAGTCCCTGACAATCTGTTTGACGAAACATTGAAGCTAACAAGATCTGCCAACTCACCAATCTGACTAGGGATCTTTCCAACAAAGTTGTTATCTGACAAATGCAGCCTCTCAAGTTTCTTAAGCTTACCAAATTCTGGAGGAATAAACCCAGAAAATCGGTTTTGATACAGCTCAAGAGTAGTTAAATTTAGAAGCCCAGATAATTCAACGGGGAGGCTACCACTAAGCTGGTTATCTCCCAATCTCAACTGCACCAAAGATTTGCAGGTCTTGACACCATAGGGTATGCCACCCGTTAATTTGTTAGACCAAATGGTCAGAAAGTTCAACTTCTGAAACTTACAAACTTGTACCGGTATTCTACCCACGAGCTTGTTCTCAGATACATCAAGAACGGATAAATTACTGTTAGCCCCTAACTGAGGAGGTATTGTGCCTTCAAGATGATTGTCGAAGAGTTGCAGATACTCTAGAGAGGTAAGGTCCTGAAACCCAATGGGAATCGTACCTGTTAGGTTGTTAATCGAAAGATCAATCTTTCTCAACTGACTCAACCGCCCAAGCTCTCTAGGGATGGTTCCCTGCAAAAGGTTTTCAAAAAGGTGAAGTAGCCTTAGGGTCTGAATCCTCCCAAGCTCCGCTGGTATGGTCCCTATCAACCTATTCTCTGAAAGATCAATCTCTACAGCAGATGTACAGTTCCCCAGCTCTTTTGGTATAGTGCCATTCAGCTGATTAGTGTAGATATAAAGCTTCTTCAATTTAGACAATTTACCCAACTCCTTTGGGACTCCACCACTGAAACCATTCTTATTTAACGCGAGCATCTCCAAATTGCTGCAATTCCCAATCTCAGGGGGTATCTCTCCTGTTAACTGATTTTGCCAAAGGATCAGAGTTGTGAGATTCCTAAGCCTTTGGAGCTCCTTCGGAAGAAGGCCCTGTAGCTTATTCTGAGCCAATCCAAGGATTTCTAAGCTCCCACATTCACTGATCTCTAGTGGAATAGGACCTGAAAGAAAATTGAGACCTGCCCTTATAATCCTCAGTTTCTTCAGATTACTAATGGAGTTGGGTATGGAATCAGTGAAATTGTTACTGTATATGACAAGTTCTTCAAGAGATGAGAGGTTTCCAACCTCATCAGGGATTTTGCCAAAAAGGTAGTTCTCATCAAGGTAAAGCCTTCTCATATTGGATAGCTTACCTAATTCTTGGGGTATCTCACCATGAAGCTTGTTGGTACCTACATCTAGAACCTCCAGACGGGTGCAATTGAACAAACCTCTAGGTAAAGGGCCGAAGATCATGTTCTTCGATACATTGAAGACTTTAAGATGACGCAGCTCACAAATGCTCGGAGATAATGCACCAGATAAATTGAAGAGATGAAGGTTTATGGAAGTTACCCTGTAAAGGGTGCAGCTAATGCCTCTCCATTTACAAGGCGTAAAGTCAGACAAATTCCAGTTCTGGAGATTTCCATTGCTGTCATTGAGGCCATCTTTAAACTCGAGAAGTCGGCGCCCTTCGTCGTTCAAGGAGTTTACAACGACAATAGAGAAGCAGAGAATTGAGAAATAGCGAAAAAAGGTTCTTTTGGATCCAAGGGTCTCCAAGAGAGTCATTTCGGGATGGTTAGGAATCACATTATAGAGGGAAAACACAACAACTACCTAGGAGATGGACGGTAGCCTACATCATGCTATCCACGATGTTGAATGCAAAACTACTGCCAAAGACAAAATACAATATGTTTGTCATCTAGTGCTGGTAAATGAGAGATGGCCTAGGAGGCAAAACTTAGCGGGGAAATTGAATCATACTGGAAGTTTAAAAAAACAATTAAATCATCCTACAAGAATTTCAGTTTCCACAGGTCAAGATACAAACCCATTCGGAAATCCTCATGACATTCAGAGAATTCTATGCATTATTCTAGTGTCTGTCAACTGAAATTATCAAAAAAAAGAGGAAGGAAAGTGCTGTTTATTTGTAGCAAGAACAAGAAAGACTAAGGTCATGAGTTAGTAAGAAAAGATAATGAAGATCTCATATATGTTTCTGAATTGATATTAGGAAACCATGAAGATCAACATTACAGCTGTAATACTGAAATTTTTGACACACTGCTGAAAAATATGTTCAAAAGCTCTGCAAATTCTGAAAAATTATTAGGCAAAAAAATGATGCTCTAGATTTGGGATTCATAAGGCTCAGATATAAGGATCTCTAAAGAGAAAGGCCAATTCCTGGCCAAAAAATGATAGGAATGAATACCCAAACAAAAGAATTCTTTAAATAAATATGACTGGATAAACTCATGTTACATGATAAGATGCAAAAGATTGAACAATCAAACCAAACAGTGCAGTCATAAACTCTGACAGGGAAAGTAGCAGATAGGAGAGAGGGAAAGCAACAAAGGAAACTTCAATAATTCTTTTCAAATTGAGAGAGAGAGAGAGAGAGAGAGAGAGAGAGAGAGTACT